AGTAACAAACATAAAAAAGAAGAAGGGGAGATAAGGACGATAGATGTCTCATAGGAAAGAAGAAGCAAACCACACCAGAGCACCCGCCAACCACCCACTGATATTTGTCTGTGAGGATTAATTTCTAGTTTTCAGAGAACCTGCACGATAGGGGCAACTTTTAGCTAGAATAATAGTTTGAATAACCAGAAGTACGAGTACATTGACCCCTTAACAGATGTTTAAAGCAGGGAGAAAGTGAAACAGACGGACAGAAACAGCAAAAGGTTAAGATAAGAAGTAGGACCCACTAGTGGCACTCACCAACTCGTCAGACAGAGATCAATATACTGGCAACATTTTAAAAAAGCAGAAGCTCATTACACAAAGAGTATTCAAAAGCTACCACGATGTTTGAGTTGAAGAAAGGAGCACTGATATAACAAGACGTAATCAAATCAAAACAGAAACGGAAACTGTTCAACCTCTCAATAAATTAAAATCGGATTTAATGTTATATTTTTCTATGATCTCTGCTTTGATTTATGGTAATTATTTCCCCTCTCTTGAACACAAATTTATGTTTAATACATTTCAATTCAAAGAAAACCCTGCACTAAAATCTGTTCCATCTCTCTGACTAAACGCTGTAATAAGGGCAACGATAAAACAAGGAGTAATCAGTAATGAATAATCAACCTATAAAGTGTACACTGCACACATGCAACACTCCGGCTTGAAATAAATTTGGGCTTGTCGCACATTGGGTTAAGAAAATAAATTCACTAGATTTTTCCTTACTCATACCCAGTCTAAATTAGTAGACATACCAACTTCTTTTGGGGAGGAAATATGTGACAGTGGTCTAATATAAACTTTTCCACTGTGATCTAGTTTGGTATGAGTTTAACAGTGTTAGAAACTACATAAGTTCATATGAGTGAGGACACAAGTTGGTTCTTGTCAGGATAATTCAAATCACAATAATTTGAAACCTTGGATTCATTGATTAAGCAACACAGGTTTCTCCCTACCTGTATAGAGCCCACAACTTTGTTTGTCAGTTCTAGAATAGCCATGACTGTGTTGAGGGTGAATGAGTTAGCTCCTCGTTGCAACCCTCGGATGATCCGTCTGTCCTTCTGGTACTGCTGGATGGGCAATCGGATCAGATCCATCATACCTTGGACTGTTGAGCAGGGAAAGAAAAATGTTCGCTGTTCATTATCTTGAGGATATATCATTATTGATACTGAAACTGATAGAAATGTGAGACAATTTTAAGGCAATGGTGTGCCTGCTTCTAAAAAGACTTCATGTACATACATAAAGAAAGTAAGTCTTGTCATGCTGTAACTGCAACAAAATGTCTGAACACAATATGTAAGTCAAGTTAACACAAACAAGGGATGGAAGAGAAAATATTGTAAAAATTAGTAAAACAGACAGAGGAAAAAACTGAAACAGATATAGCCATCTTTGTGAGCTTTAAAGGGAACAAATATATTCAGATAAATTTGCTTAAGAACATTTCACACACCGCATCAGGGAAAAGCTATTTTTAAGAAGAAGTCACATACGTCCAGTAATAATTTGATGCCACCCCCCCCCCCCCAATACATCATGGGATGGGGAGACATGAAAAGAGATAGAAACAGAGACAGACACAGAGTGGGATAGAGAGAGAGAGAGAGAGAGAGAGGCAGAAAGAGAGAGACAGAGAAAGAGAGAGAGAATGGCAGACAGAGAGAGAGATGTTTGTTTTAGCAGAGGTTTTATGGTGCTAGCAACTGCATAAGGTCATATGAGCGCCAGAAAATTAGAGATGTTACAAGAGAGTAACCAGAGCACCCGTCAACCACCCACAGAGAGAGAGAGACAGACAGACCAACCGACAGACCGACCGACCGACCGAAAGACAGACAGACAGACAGACAGACAGAGAAAGAGAAAACAACCGAGAAGGAGGTATGAGTGACTCACTGATCTGACACACGATGGAGAAGCTGCCGACACCGCGGAGGATACTGTGGATTTGATTGCTGCGGATGTCGTTGAGCCACTCGTTGGCGGCGTACATGATCAGCTTGTCCCAGCCCAGGATCCTGTGGTCATGGAGGCAGGTACGGTCAGACGAGGAGAGAAATAAGGCAAGGGGTTTAAGTTTATGCTAACAGAAGCACTTAGTCACAATAATAGTCATTTGGTTGGGGGGGGGGGGGGGGGGGGCGCACCATAGATCACTTGACAACCAGCTCCGTTAATTCCTCTCAGAACGTAGACTCTTTCAGTTCCAGGCCTTTACATTCTGGGATCTTGAACCTTCCATCTCTTTCTCTGCTCCTCTCTACTCCTTTTTAGGTTTTGCTTAATTTGATTAAGTTTTACCACACTTGCATTATAAATAGATCATATTATAAGTGCCAACAATTAAAGGTTTAGCTGGAGGGTAACATTGCAATGAAAAGGAGAGATAATGACAATAATTGCCTGATAGGGTAGAGGGAGAAAAAACACATGATAGCCCCTGCAATTCACTCTATGATCTCTCTTCCACCCCATGGATTGTTTTGCCTTTGTGATCTTAAGATGTGCCTGCATCCCTTCAGCTTGGAATTCCCCTGTCGATTACTGTAGCAACCACAGGGAACCCAAGTACATAAAGACTGTTTGGCCTGTTCTGTTTAACACATTGAAATATCATATCGTCGAATTAGCTGCACTGTGTAGTTTTTGTCTCTACATTAAAATATTACCACACACTTATACATTATCTTACACCAAAGTACAGCCCAAAAGAATTAAAATATCTGCCTCAAGGTGAGAAAGGGTTTCTCCCACATAAAAGAAATAGAGGCTTCTGCTCAGAAATATCAACTAGGTCCTCCGTACAAACTGTTGTAGGAGGTGGTACAGCGGACTGTCAAAGCCCTACTTACTGTGCACAGGTTCAACAAAGAAGCATGTACCAGCTGACCAGAAAAAAGTTTGCCCAAAGAAATGTAAATAACATTCTTGTTTACAACACAATTGTCACCATAATGGAAGAAAAGCCAGCACCCCCATCTGGAGTATGTTGTGTATTTATTTCCATGGCTGTTGCACAGTGGCAAAATTATAAAGTAATTCATTCCTATACAGCATGCTGTTGCTATGAATTTTTTTTCACTGAACAAAATCTCTTATTTGCTCCAGCATATGGGATCAACATCCGTAGCAAACATGAAGTTTCAACCAAAATTCCAGGCAAAAGGCCATTATGGAGGGTACGAGCGAGATCTCCCTCATGCAGAGTCAATTGTGACTGCCAATTTCCCTCAGCCTGACTCGAAATAGGAGGCATTTGGAATATACCTTATAACTTTGTAGCTGTTATATTTTGTGGTAATTATTACCTAATAAATTTAGACAATGTTCTACATTTCAGCCAACTTTGATGCTTATAACTTAATGCATAATGGTTTAATGAGTTTCCTTTTAGACAAACTTTTTTCGTGGTCATCCTGTACATTCAGTAAACCTTTAGATGAGTAAGTTCTTAATGGCATAAACCCATGTTGCTCAATAAAAAATAAAAACTGGCACTCATCATCTGTGATAATGCTGAAACAATTCTTTAAAACTGAGTTTAAAAGGATGATTGTCAGGATAGCAAATGATCTTTTACTGTGAAATATTTCTTTCAAAGATGTGCTTTTCCCATGAGAGCTAGCTCAACTTTGAAATTGGAAAATATTCTTTTAGATGTTCACAAATACCAGTCCTGGCATTTGATTATGGAGCCATCAAATTCTGAGTTCAACATAGCACAATAAGGAAAGATCATGTCTGAATAAAATAATGAAAAATAAAACAAAAGAGATGAGAAGAGAATGGCCCATAATTACACACCAACAGCACATGAACCACACAATGTACACACAGCACAAACACACTTTTGTAACACACCACAACGCATGTATCAAGAAGCACTAAATCTGAAGCACTGATTAGCTTGTCAATCACACTGACTGTAGTAAAAGACTCATCATTGAAAGTCCATACGGTTTAAACAGGTAGGGTACATAACGAAATGAAAGAAAAAAAATCTCAACCTCTGCTACATGCTCCAAAACCTTCCATGAGCTGGAAGGTAGCACTGAGATGGCAGTTTGTACACAATGGGCAATGACCAGCATACATTGGTATCATGAAAGCATCTTCCATCATTTCATTTGTACAATGAGAAATGAAAAGGCATATCATCTGTATATCATTGTATTTCATTATTGCATTGATAAAACGACAAAAAGTGTAGTTTAACCAACAACAAAAAAAGCGCATTAGATCATTCACCGAATAACAACATTGACATACTGTAATATTACTGCTGTACAATGGAGTCCGCTTAAATCAAATATGGCTAAACCAAAAACATCTGTAAACAGAAAGAAAAGAAAATTCCCTATTATTTTCTTCTATATGAGCATCCTCTCTTATCGGAGAGCCCAACTTAATTGAAGAAAATCCGACTGGCCCGCAGATTTTGGTTTAAGCAGACTACACTGGACTTATAAGCATTTTATCTTTAATTGCTCATTCAAAAAAGTTAAATGTTAGCATTTACAACAATGAATCAAATTACTACACCTTTCACCACACAACATAAAAAAGCTAGATACTGTCACTAATATCTTTATTCCTACAGGTTTTATTCTTTCACACCCCTACCCTTCTTTCAGGCCTTTCGCATACTGTACCCTGCCCTTTCAACTAATAAAAACCACTCATCTCAGTATTTCTTCAACAAGTGTTTGATCATAGGCTTAATAAACTACTGAAAAAAAATATTCACTGCATATATTAAAGATTAAATACAACAGCTGCACTTTTCTGAAGACTATTACGATCTACTTTGACAGACATATCAGCACACTACGAACACTAACAGTACCAAGCCTTAAGTGTATGAGAAATTTTTTCTGATATCTCTCTCCCTGATCTCTTCATTGTCAGTCTTACAAAGCTTCTACACATCAGACTTCATTGTAGTAAGATTGAAACCCTGAATTCAAACATTTGATATCTTCTCTCTCTTTGATTTCTTTTCTTCTCACTAAGTCTTAGCTTCTACAAAACAGCCTTCATTGTTCTGTCTGGCTGTGCCAAGAGTTACTGTTGTCTGTACAATCACACAGAGCGGAATCCACAACCAAAGCCTACACAAACAAAATCCCCAGCATATATTATGGCACACATCAACCTACTACAAGTACAATCTCTTAACAGGAAACTTGTTAATCTAGCTGTTTCATGGTGTCTCGACAAGTATGGACGATATGACAGAGCCGTGAGCAGCCAAAATTCATGGCAGTAGTTTTCTGAACTTTCCCAGTTTTCAGAATTTCGGGCAAGGGACAGGACGATTAAGCTGTATATACGAGTGAAAACAGGCAAAACTGCCACATTTTTATAAACCAAAGAACAAAAGCATTAATATTGTATACTGTACATGGATGCGCTAGGACCACAACCCATACCACATTCCACAACTCCATTGCCAGAAGGTGCTATGACCATCCTTACAACTAGCAATGCTGACTGCAAACATTTTTTCTCACAGAAAGAGTTCTCTGACTCACATTCAGTGTGGTTTAACTCACAAAACTCATGACGAGTTCATATATTACATGACATTACATTATTTTGACATGAGGTTCACACTATTCACACATTACAGGTAAAATTTTAGTCAGTTACATTTAATACCAAGAGCGTATATTTCAGTGTCAATATCTCAATCCACAAGCCCATACATGAAAAAGCCTCAAAGCATTAGGTGACAGAAACAATTCCTGAAAACTGTGAATAGCAAAAAAAGAAAACAGTTTTCCCTCAACACCTACTCGATTCTCACAGTAAAGGTATTCCTGCTGCATTCTTCCTAGACTGCAATGTCCTGGGCTTGACATCACGTACACAGACAAATGTGTCATGACGTGGTGGAATCAGCCGTTTGTCAATTTTTGGACATGTGGACTTATTAGTATCATTTAATAGCTTATTCATTTGCCTTGCTTTCACCGGAAAAAAAATACCCATCTATATTGAATAAAAGTCAACATGTTTGCAATTGAAGGAGTTGGGGTCGCCTGGTTTCAGTGCGAAAATTGGCGAGGAAATGGCTGCCAAACTTTGGTAGTTTCAATAGCTTGAGAGTCCTTGAAAACTTTTTAAAAATCACATATTTTGTGCTTTTAATAAAAGTATTTCGTAAAATTTGCAGAAAATGTGTTATTATATGGACATAAAAGGTGCTGAGCGGAAAAAAAAAATTGATAAAAATTGCCAAACTGGCAGAAAAATGCCTTAAAAAAAAAATTGCACTATTTCGACCAGCGCCTGCTTTCACCATGATGACTCACAAATGTACAGGGAGGTGGAAATCGGCAAGGGCATCCACAGTCACATAAGAGGGTGTGACACTTCATCACCGAAAAGAAAAAATTAAAAAGTTTTCAATCTTTAAAAACAAAATACTATGGCGATCAGCGACTGAGTTTGTTTTTGCAGCATGAATGATATTTGTAGTTGTAACAAAGAAGCCAACTGTGAAAAAGAAAAGACTACTTCTGTCCCTTTTACTTCTACAGCTCATTAACGTTGAACAGCTGTTCATGTCCTCTCTTTCCAGAGAAAACTCTAATACCATGTATACAAAACTCTGCTCTATAAAACTACACTGTACACTTTTTTTTTTTCAACATCAAACAGGTTAGTTCCTGACAACATTGATATCTATAACTGCAACAAGTACCAGTTCACCATTTAAAAAAAATTTAGTTTATCTAAAGAGTGACTACTGCATACTCAAGGTGTTTAAGTACAATGGGCAGTACATAATTTTGCTAGATCCCATCGTCATCTGAACACATTGCACACACATACCCTTATCAAATAGGTCAGAGAAACGTTTAGGATTGTTTTAACAGAATTACACTCATTCCAATAGTCTGAATATCTTTTGAGAAATCTACTGGTTTTATAACAGATGACATATAGTAAGAAAAATTCAAAACATAATCCAAGTCTGCGAGAGCCAGAAGTCGCTGATAATAGCTCAGAATTCAGCATGATGTGAACATTGTTAGAAGGGTAAAATAATCTTAATAGCCCTTTTGCGGAATTCGGATTAAAATTATGCTCCGTCTTGAATCCAACTTTTGAAGGAAATAACTAGCATAAATACCTATCTGAACCTGAATTACATTTTTCCTGGCTATAGTACATTGCATAACTTTCTTTTTAGGTGGACCACCACATCATAGAAGAAACGAATACTGAAGAATATTTCAACATCTTTAAAAAAAAAAGTGAAAAAAAGAGTTAATCTTTTTTTGAAAATAGGGCGTTGGTGCAACCATGTAATTTCAAGGCACTTGCATTCTTCAAAAAAAATAATGAAAATCACACAAATAAAATGTCATTTTTTAGTTTCACCACCATGAAGTGAACCCACAAAATGACTAGTAGAGTCAAGTGAAGCATGTACCAAACAAAAAAGGGCTGAGGAAAATGTATCTGTAGACTCAGTTACCATTATACACAGATACAACAAAATCAGCTTAACAGAACCCTGTAAAGTCGGTTGACTGACTGATCTCTGATCAAATTAAACAAAAAATATATTAAAAAATAAATTTAAAAAGCTAACTATAAACAAAAAGAGATACTTGATAAAACAACTTCTATACTGGGTAACAGTGAAATGCCTTTTGCGAGAGTTCAACCACAGGTATTCAGCATGAAACCTTCGAACAAAGTAAAGAAGAGAACAATGCATGGCATCCATGCAAGGAGTACAAGTTGAGAGAAACATTTCTTTCTCCTGTAAACACATTCAGCTGTTTTAGGAGCAGTCCTTGCCATGTAGAACTGCAACATAGGTGGGTAAGTCATCACACAGCAGCAAACAAAATGTACGAAAAAGCAGCAAACTAAAACATTTAGTGGCTTTCTGTTTCAGGTTCAATGGCACAGAAGCACAACAACTGGGGTGACGTTCTTCCACCAACAATGTAGATGAGAACAACAACAACAAAAAAAAGAAAAGAAAAAATCCAAAATTGTGGTTAAAATGTGTAATTCACAATCTACGCCTTCCGTAACAACCAAAGAAATGGACAATTCAGATTCCAGTAAGTTGTGTCATTCATTATTCATAAAAAAATCTTGCATTAAAAGAAAAGGATTATGAATATGGCCCCACTTTGCTTATTCATAGAAGTGATCCTAAAAAATATTATGACATTGGTCTGCTTCATAGTTGGAGTGATCTTTTTCAGTCTCTGAATTTTAGAGCCAGTCAAATATTGTGCAGTTTGGGGTGTATGATCTAACAAACAAATGAAAACCCTGTCCAGAAACACAAGTCAAAATGATTTTGTTGAGGTACACTATTATGTTCTGGAGGTAGGTGTGAGACCAGCAAACAAAATGTTGAAAACAATACATGGTTACAATTGACGAACCTTTAGCGAAAAAAAAATTGAGGAAAAAGCCAATACAAGGATGAAATAAAGATGAAAAAGCTCCGGATTTACTTAAAATTAAACCCCAGTAGTGCTAGATGCTTTTTAAAAACACAACATTCAAATCAGGAAACTTAAAAAAAAATAATGAATCTTACATGTCAAAACCTCTGGGTTTTAGAAAAAAAAGACACTACTACAAAACTGTTTTAAAGTTTTGATAGTCAGGTGCAAGGAAAGGACACAGACACTGCTGAATGAGGAACAAGCAAAGCCAATCTTGAGTCACCCTGATGAGATGAAGACAGGACAGTACATCCTACAATCGTTGTCTTCTTAAAACAATTACCCCAATCTCACTTTTATTTCCAAGAACAAGAAAAAATGACCTTTTCTGTTTCCATGACAAGATTCCACTTCCTCTATTGTTTGCTTTGCCCCCCCGTCCTAAAATGTAATCTTTAAAAAATTCAAATCAAATTTTATACTGCCCATTTCTAACCAAGTGAGGGGTATCTTTTTTCACCTAGCAATTCTACTTTTTCAAAAGTCTGCATCCACCAAGGTATATGTGACGGTACATTTTTGTATCAGGCTCGCCAACTTTTTCAAAACCAAACCAAGGGCATCGAATATAAGTGGGTGACCACCTGACCAAAGTAATCAGAAATGGCCTACAAACACCAGAAAAAAGTTCAAAATTTGGCTTGTGTTGCGGACGTTAAAGTGTCGTCTCAAATTCCAGATGCCATATGTGGGACAGTTCTAGGAAATTTGGGACAGATGACAAGCCCGCCCAATCTTGCTTTCACCAATTTTCAGGAAACTGTTCCTTATTTCTCAACAGCTGTTTCTACCTTTCTCTATGCCTAGCACATATTTTTAACTGACTGCCGTCCCACCGTCCTCTATGCTTGCTTCCACCGGTCCTCCTCCTCTTTCATCACATTAGGGTCCACCTCATTCCGGACGCCTTGCACCAAACTGCTTCCTGCCTCTGCCAGCAATGCTAGGGGTTTGAACAAACACTCTGGAGTAGCATTGCGTAGTGTGCCTCCTACTACACCGACATAACCCTTGTGGGCACTCTCCTCGCTGACCATCGCAGAGAGGTTCGAAGCCGACTCTTTGACGCCCTAGGAGAAGTGAGAAGTCAAAGACTAAAATTAAAAACAACATAAAGAGAAGAACCGTCTATCATATCTTTAAAGGTATGGATACACCAAATATTTTAATCAGATCAAATAGCAAAATGAGATAGAGAAATAAGGAGTCTCTCTCCAATGACATGCAGTTTGCAGAAGAGGTGCTTCAAAGGCCAGTCATACCTCATATCATAATATTGTTAATAACTTCCAGGCACAATGACCCTGCTCCAAACTTCCAATGATTTCAGTCATTTGACTGTTCATTTAACCAAATTTCAGGGGTTTTTTCAAAAGTTTAATCTTTAGAACTGGTATCACCCTGAAAATGACTTAATTTTTCCATTTTCCACACAGTTATCAGCAATTTTATTATAATCTGCTTAACCACATGGTGTGTCCATACACTAAATAAGAACAATTGGACCAAAAAGAATATCAAACAGAAAAAAAGAGTGCAAAAGTGTACAGTACAATTTAAGAGCTAAGGCTTTATATAGATTAGAATAGGATTACAGGACACAGATATGAAGCAAAGTCACAAGAATGATAGGAATCTGCTTTCATGTTCAAACTCCACCAAGATGATGGATGACATAACTTTGCACAAAAGAAATATTGACCTAAATCCGCATTAACTTCTTTAAATCATAACACTTCAATGTCAAAACCTTTTATCTTCTTAAAAAAACAACCAAAAAACGAGAGCACTGCTATAAGCTTTGAGGACATATTATTATATATACCGCAGATGACCCTAATTCAAATCCCTAAACAACTATTCTCAAATTTGATTTGTTTGAGGAGTGTCCATGGCTTTTCACTAAAAAAAAACAACCTTTAATTATCTTTCCCTGTCACTCACATGTTCAGTTCTCTAAGGGTATTGTTCTTAGTCTACCACTGCCTTTTTATTTTACAAGCGAAGAGCAAGATGTTCAAGGCCTTAAGTTAATTCAGCTGTCTAAGAATTTGCACTTGTAACTTTCAATTGTTTTTTTATTAGTGAGCATGCCACACAAATTTGTTTTTCTTTATCAAAACACTCAACAGTTTCCTACACTGCGCTAGTTCTAGTTTATTTTTAGTCTTCAGGTATTGCTTAGCCTTCATAACTATATAGAACAGTTGGCCCCACATTTCTTATTTGTAACATTTTTAAAAATTGTCAATGAGATGTTTCTATTTTTTTTCAAGACAACTGATTTTTTGAAAACTATTTTCAGCTATTCTAGCCCAGGATAGAGAAAGGTGGAAAGTGCTTGTCCGTGGCCTATACCCTGGTGCAGGGTGAGAAAGGCAATGATGATCTTCAGCTATTGCAAAACTTTTGTTTAATTTCTTTGTTACACTTGCAACCATATGTAAATTATATCCCAGAGCCAAATACACATACAAAACATTTGCGACCCAACTGACCTCTGTGACGACCTGTAGTGCGGCCTTGGCCCCCTCAGCTGTGGTGCGTGGCTGGCGGTTGCGATGTCTCACCGTTCTTCGTCGCCGCACGCT